GAGGTTAAATTTTACAAAAAGAAATGAAATTTATTTGATCTCGATTGCTTACCAATTGTCTATTTCTTACGAATAACAAAAATGACTATAAATAGCAATGATTTTTAACGTTAGAAATCATTCCCCATCTTTCTTTCTCTTCTTCTTACTATATTACATTTATATTTTATTTTTTAACTATTTTAGCTTGTATTCATACTGGCCATTGTACAATATCACAGGTAAGTATTAGTTTTAGTTTTTTTATTTTATTTTTTTGTTGTCTCAGCTTTTTATCTCATTTATTTATTTTTATTTTATATAATGATAATTGTCTTTCTATTATCTATTTTAGTGACACAAAAAGTAAGTATACTTTTGTATATTTAATACGCCCTACGGAGGCCTTCCATGCATCGGCGTGAAACTGGCCAAGTCTATCTTGGTGCCCATAGCAAGTACAGGCCGCATATAGATCTCTCTGTTGTAGGTCCTATACACGTTAGATCTATGCCTGTACGTGAAGAGCCTTGGCTCTCTATGGCACCACCAAGGTAGTTCTTGGTCGCGCGAGCAACTATAACTGGTAAGCAAAAAAAACAAAATTTTCATTCCAATCAATTCGTTTCTTTTCATTTAGCAAATAAATAAAAGATGAAGAAAAGAAACATATAACGTAATCTTATATTTTACCTTTTTTCTTTTCTTTGAAGCGAAAGAGTAAAAGAAAATTTCTTTTTCTTGTTCATTTATTTCAAAGTATAGAAAAAGAAGTGAACAAAGAAAAAACAATTCACAAGTCTTATTCCATAGAAAATCGTTGAACACGATGATTCCAATAATCGACGACATAGAGATTACCTTGTCGATCGAAAGACAAATCACGGAGGTAGTTGAACTGATTTGCTTCTTCTCCTCGACCATTTCCACCCACAACTACAGCACCTTGTTTCTTGTCTCCTTGAGTCCAACGCATTACACGATGATTATACGAGTCTGCTACATAGAGTGTACCCAATGTGTCAACGAAGAGTCCATCAGGATGAGACAATTGGGTCAGAGCACTCCCTTCACCTTGTCCTCCAGCGAGCACAATACCTTCTTTTGCACCTTTATTCCATTTTATTACACGATGATTCTCGTTGTCTGACACGTATACATTCTGTTGTCGATCGACAACGAGATATGTCGGCACGTTGAGTTGATTGAGTCCATCACCTCTATCATTTCCACCAGCTACGAGAGTGCCATTCTTCTCACCCAATTGATATCGTCTTGCTGCATGTTTTTCGACGTCAGAAACGTAGAGATATCTCTGTTCATCCATGGTCAATCCCGAACAGTCGATGTTGTCGATGAGTATTTCACCTTGTGTTGTGCCACAACGACGAGACCATCGTACAACTCGTCGATTCTCTCGATCACAAATAATGAGACTATCCGTCTCTTTGTCAATTAATACATCAGTTGGCCAATACAATTGATGTAATCCATTTCCTTGGCCTTTGCCACCAGCAACAATTTGTCCATTCGTTGTATCACCGTTCTTCCATTGCATGATATGATTATTCCAGTTGTCAGGAATAACCACTGTTTGATCATCATCAACGAAGAGACCATGAGGAAAGTAAAGTTGACGAGTGGCATCCCCATCCCCGTTATCTCCAGCAATAGTCACTCCGTTCTGTTTCCATGTAGCATTAGTAGGAATATTAACTAGAAGAGAAAGAGTAAGAATAAAAGGAGATCTCTCTCTTTCTCGAGTATGGCTAGTATATGAAATAATTCCGAAAGTATCGAGCAAAATTCTTTGAATAGATCATTCTTTTTTTTCTAGAAATTCCTGAAAATAAGTTTTTTCTCTACTGGAATATTATTCTATAGAATGAATCACACATATAGCATATCGTTCTCTCTCTCTCTCTCAAGCGTATTCACATTCTATATTTTTGTAGAAAATCAAACTTAAATAATTAAATCTAGTTAAACCAAGCAGACATTAAAAAATCATTCAATCGGAGTTCCAAGTGATGAACTCTGTTTTCTTTTGTGTGGATGTGGATGTATCGCGAGATAATTAATCGAAACTTGTAAGTAGTACACAAGCAAGAATACTAATGAAAATTGAATCGATTTTCTAATAATTTTATTGGCATAAATAATTTGCCAAACTCATCGAAATGTAAAATAAACATTTTATTATTATTTAAAAACAAGCAAGAATGTTTGGACAATACCAACTTGTAATAATTTATTCAATAATGAGTTTACAATGCAACAAGATAGCAATATTGCTCTGATAATAATAGGGTGTATATGATTCTCAATACAAGTCAAGTCTAACTGTTTACATTCTGATAAACGATTTCTTCGAGCAACTCAAATTTTAACTACTCGCTGACTTATAGTACTGGCCTATTTTTCCAATATATCGTGAGCTTATATAGTAGAGCGAGAGAGAAAAGATTACGTACTGTTCAGTACGCGAATATGTGTTAATGTCATATAAACAAGGATGTATACTATTAGTAATGTAAACTTAATTACGTCGCTGCAATATGTTTATTGGCTCCTCTATGCTTTATAAGTGGAAGCCCGGCGGTTTCTATAGCCACCTATTGTGACAACCAAAGGAAAGCATATGCTGTATCTTTGTGTTCCTTTTGACAGCGTTTGCATGTGCTTCAAATATCTCCTTTATCGTATCACTTGTTTTACCTTCACCTATATCTCTTCCTTCATGAGCACAGCTTATCAGTGCACGATGAATTGTTACTCACTCATATATATAA